ACCCATATGTGTTCTGTGGGATTATGATCTGGACTTGAGAAGGGTAGGAAGAACTTCTTTTACATTGTCACCTAATCATTCACTTTAAATTTCCGATGAGCGGTTTAAGTTGTTATCATAAACGAACTGAAAATCGTCTCCAATGACTAATTTGACTACATTGTCGTCCAAATGCTGTTTTAAAAAATTTAATTAATTATATTGCCTATTGTCCTTCCAGGAATATGATATTTTCGAAACATGCTACAGCCATTATACTCAATCACTTATCATCTTCTTCGGCTTTCTGATCCGAAAATATTGTACATACTTTAATCTGTCAAAAAATATATTTTTCCAGTTGTATTCCGCTTTGTTTGCGTAATTTAATGATACTCCAAGCGTTAATTCATATTATTTACTGAAATAAACAATTTCTTAGGTGGAACACATGCCTTATATTTATTCAGATGATGAAAATTTTGTCTAGTTTGTACATTTGCAGATACATTTTCACTTCCTGTAGAACTCTTGGCTATTGCCACGACACTAATTTCTGAATCATGTCTTATATCCGTTCAAATTTTCGATCCAAATGGAAATCAATAAATTTTCCGCGGCCTCTATATGTAGACGTTTCTAAATATCCCGGTTATTTTGTATTTTTCTACAATATATTAAACAGAAGATAGTTGCATAGATACAATTTGAGAACATTTTGCAAAAAATGTTCCTTCATTACTCATTTTAATTGTTAATTCTTTGATTTTAATAGGCTTTAATAAGTACCGGCATTATTCCTACACTTGTTTTAAATGTAAATAAAGTAAAAATTTAACGAAAATACTTTAAAGCAGTCCTGACAACATTAGAAATTAGAATACACCTCATTTTAATGCACCGTTATATTTTAGAGCTGTATCCTTTTAATGTTTTTCTTCTGTACGGAGACTTTGAGTTTGATTATAGAGGTGTTGCATTTAAGAAATAATTTACAAAAACATAGTGTTATTAAAAATTTTTGCAATTACAAAATTTGTTAGGACATTATTACCTATGATAAAAATGATGAATGAATGACATTCTGTACGGAGACTTATTTGATTCAGTGTACATACATACAATTAATCGGTTTACTTAAAATGGCATGGAGTTCTTCTCCTCACTTAAGGCTTAATGAATATCAAGAAGGGAAACTTTATAATTGTTTTACAACAAAAACATTACGCTCTTCTCACAGACGAGTTCTGTGTAAATCCAACACATTTGTAACAACGTTTTTCTCTCTCAAAACTTTGAAACTTTTTCGCGAAAATTGGAGGATAAAAGAATTTTAAAGTATTTTTTATCACTTAACATAATATTTTTTTATTTTTTTGCACACTTTAAATGCGTTTGATAGCCCGAAAAGAATATATTTTTTACAAACCAAAAATAAAGTATTTTTTATTTTTTTGACATTAAATTCATGTTGAAATTCGTGTTGAAATAAAAACTGAAAAAACAATGTTTTAAATTTTCATATGATAAACGAAAAAAAAAATTAAATAAAGTATTTATTTTTTCAATACTGCACATTAAAATCAAACAGACGTGTTTATACAATGTTTATATAATATCCCAGCAAAATCTTTACTTACGCGGTAAGTAGGCAAGTAATATTGGAGCAAACTGTAAGTACTTTCTTTTTGGGTGAATGACTACTTATTTTTGTTTGACGATTTAAAACCGGATTTATAGTTATTTTCTGTGTTTATTAGTCTATTCTATTACCCAATGCTCCATTAACAAGTTGTTTTATCATGCTATTTGAAATAGTTCTTACACAAAGGTACAAATCAATATTTGTTCAAAAATCTTCTAATATCGACTAGGTTTAAAACCATTAACTAATTCCTTATTAGACATACGCTCTATACATCTGGCTACAAATCCTACCCAAAAAAATGAAATAATTTTATTAATAAAGACCACTCATTACCAAGTAATGTGTGAAATATCTACATTACCTACAATACTTATTACCAAAATTTGAAAATATTTTACTGGGATGTGCAAAATATTTAAAGAAACCTTTTAAACTATAAATTTAATTGTAATACATTTTTTTCAATATTTTTAAATACGATTTTTTGCAACTATGTTGGCTTGAGAATTCTATAATACATTCTTAGAGTTAGTTACCGAATACTACCGACTGACAAGGTACTTTTTGACATCGTTTCATTTCTTATTTATTCTTTGTTATCAACTTTTACAATTTCATTTAAAAATTATGAAATATCACGTAATATGATGATGGATATTAGACGGCACATGGTCTCCAATAACTAAAGACATGTAAATAAACTTTTATTTAAAATTTGGGGTGAACTAACTAGAGTCTATATATTCATACAATTGAATAACAGAGTACTAATTCAGGAAAATTTTTCCATAAACTTTTCATTACAATTTTTTGTATGACGTTTTTTAAAATTTCACGTGAAATTTTTGCCTTGCTTTATATTAAAAAAAATTATTACTATAATTAAATATAAAGTATAAAAATATTTAAATGCAAAATGGTATAATATGTGGTTAAGAAAGTTGTTTTAATTTACATTAAAGTACTTCTTTCTATACGAACTTGGGTCTCATGTTTGTCCGGTTAATGCCCGTAATTTCAACAAATAGATATCTACTGTGTAAAATATCTAGTAAGTTGACTTGTATTTTAAATCAGTACCTACGGATTAAAATTACCAAATATTTTTACACCAAGGGTAACTATGCACTGATACCTATTTGTTGAAATTACGGGCATAAATGTAATTGAAAAGTTAACTGTTGAGTAAGTACAAGTCATTACCATGTTTTACTTCGAACATTCCCTAAAAAAATTTCGACTAATCCGTACGCGTGTGTAAAGAGTTCTTGGCAAATGACTAGAACTTGTCCAAAACTGATCCAAAAAAATATTTATATACCACGAAATCCACACATGCATTACATCAGACTAATCGCAAAACTACTCCTTTGATAAAATTATGTGAGTACATGATTTACAACGAGGTCCTATGTTGTTTTCGAAAACAATCAACATTACATAGGAATATTAAATGGCATTTTGAGATTACCTAAATGGATCATGTACCCCAATAATGCAGGGTTATTAATTATTTACTTAGCCCTGATTTAGACTGCGCAAGTTTTTGATTTTGTATACAGGTAGTAAATATGAAGAACTTCATAAGTGAAAAGTGTTTACAGTGTATTAGCATTAATAAGTGCCATAATATTACTCAATTACTGCGACATAGTCGTACAGCAAATGTTGTGTAAATTGAGTCCAATGTTAACTGTAAGACTGTGTCTTGGTTTTTGAGATTCATCTCTGGATATGGCAACAATATTTTCTTTTTGTGCAGAAAATATTTAGTAGATTTAAATCAACTGCAGTTCAGTTATTCTTCGAAGTTTCAAAGAGTTCTAAAGCACATTTTTTAGTGTCGCGAATCAAAACCAAATAAAAGTGATATGCATGTTTAAAGGATGACATTAAACTGAAATACTACTTTTTTCCGATGTGACTAGCCGTTTAAAAAATCCTAGATTTATTTCCAAAAAAATCGGTATTGAGGAATTCAGGAATTCGATTTTAAATTTAAACGATTTTAAATTTCACCGATTTGGATAAAATTTTGAAAACACGTAGTGAGAACTGACACTTTTAAATTTTTAGAACTGTGGCAACCCTATGGCTCTAAAAGTGCTTAACAATTTCGTAAAAAGTGCCATAACTTTTTAAGTGTAAATGATATTTAACATTTTATTTTTGCATAAAATTCTTCAACACAATCATTTTGTGAAATTATATAAAAATTGTATTTAAAATTAATTTGACATTATTTTTTCTAAAAACAAAATTCAGAATCATATAAAAAAATAACATTTTAATTATCTTTGACACGTTAAAACATATAGTAGGGATATAGGCGAAACTGAAGGGGCTGTCAAACAAAATTTGTTATTCTCTTCACACAGACGAGTTCTGTGAGAATAAAACACACTTGAGAGAACTACACTCACTCACAAAACTTCAAATTTTCTTCGCGAAATTGCGAGGTTATTGGCACTTAATAGTTTTTCTTATCACTTAAACTTAATATTTATTATTTTTTGCCACACTTTTATTGTATTCAAAACCCCGAAAATAATTTATATTTTACAAACAAAAAAAATATTTTTTATTCTTTGACATTTCATTTTAATTAAAACTGAAAAAAGAAAAGTTGTAAATTTTCGTATTGAAAATGAAAAAAGTATTATACATACTTTTTTTCTTTTTCCATTAGTGCAGAAAAAATAAGAAAAAGACGTGTTTATAATATGTTTTAAGATGAAATATCTTCTGAAAAAAATTAATTAACTAATATTTTCATTCACTAGTATATGAAATCCTAGTAATAACATACAAAAAAATAACGTATCAAAAATACATTTATTATTTAGTACCATTTGAACAACTGTGCTTATTTCTGTGCTTCTACTAATACATTCTCACCAGTTAGGTTTTTGACAGGGGACTTAGGTCTTTGACAATCCCTTTCGCCTATATGCTACTATATGCGTAAAAATTTATGGCACTTTTTACAAAATTGTTAAACACTTTTAAAGCTATATATAGGGTTGCCACATAGGTTTATTTATTGATAAATTTAGTTTTGATACCGACATAATTTAAATACCTCTGTATCCATTTTCTGACAACATATGATTATGTCGTAATTTAGAATTTTTTCATTTATTTAAATAAATTCTAAAGAGCGAAAGATCCGTTTGTTTGGCAAGATCTTATCACTGTTTCTTCACATATTTATAAGGTTAGCGTACGTCAAAGAGAGAAAGATTTTAGAAGTAAGGTGTAATGTTAAAAAAAACTACCTAATCGAAACCAATAGTTTTAAGTTTTATTTTAATTTTAAAAAAATTTAAATTAAATATGTTTATCAATTTCCCTTTTTTCATACCGTTTAAAGGCATTATTGCACACTCATGATGTTGTGGCACGTGATGTTTATGGAGAGGAAGCTTTACGGGTAACGCCTCCACCAATGCCTCTTTATTGCAATGGAGAAGATTTGGAAAATACAGATGCAGCAGAATTGCAGCATGTCACACGAGTGCGTTTAGTACAATTCCAAAAGAACACTGATGAACCAATGGTAAGTAGCAATTGTACAGAAATATGTATTTAAAAATTAGCAAAAAATTTTAGCGGTTAAAACTCAAGGCGATAAGGTGTCTTAGCATTCGGCATCGCTATTTTAGCGGCAACGAAAATGTACTTAAAATATATTTTAGCTGTAATATCAAAGTGATTAAAATAATTATCAAGAAATATTGTTATAGTCAGCTATGAAGAATATATAGGACCACTTCCGAAGTTGAAAAAAGTTCATTTCGGAACAGATCCTCATAAAATTATGTTTCGTTCCCTTTTTTGTGTGTTGAATTTCAACATTACACCGACAAGCCAGTTATGAGCATTTAATACATAGAGGATCTCATATTGGTTTGGGATGAATTAGGCATCGATCTTCATAAAAATTTGTAGAGATATTTTCGTTCTAGCACAACTTGTTTTATTATGGTATTATTAAGTCCATAAAGAACTCTAAATTTTTTTGAGGGAGACCTTATATGGGGACAGGATTAGTCATGGGGCCTTCCTCATAGAGCTTGGTAGAGAGATTTCGGTTGATATAAAACTCGATTATGTCATATTTCAGTGTTACACTGTCATTTTAAAGAAATTCAACCTATTTCCCAGTTAAAAAATCACTTTAAAACTTCAAAAATTAATTCAGATTGTTAATTTAATCAAATGAAATCTATGTGTTATTAGAAATATTTTTGATTATCATCATCATCATCATCATATATATAAATACGCAAAGCCAAAACGATTGGGAACATTTTCCGGCTCTATTACTTGACCGATTTTCTTGATTCTTTTTTTGATGAATGTAGATTCGCGAACCTCACTGCAGAATCTATATATGATCAAAATCGGTTCAGTATTTTCGGAAATATAAGCGTTTCTACCAAAGTTTCTACCAATACACAATCACACAAACATGTGCTTGAATTAAAAAATAGAAAACAAAATAAGTAAGCAAAACAACAACACTGTTTTTTTCATAAAAGAGAGGAGAGTGTAAAAACATGATACTTCTCTGTTGATGGTTTATTTTTGTATTTTGCAAATTGCAATGATATTTTTTGTTGTTGTTTTTAATAAGATTTTTGTAAACTAATAAGTATACAACAGACAGGCTTAGACAAAGCGAAAATATGATTTTATTGTTTTTTATTTTTTAAAAGTGTAAAGTGATAAATTTTGAATGTAATAATGATATATTATTATATTTATGATGTAAGATACAAGAGGATGATGATGTTTGACCTGGGATACATTGGTGGGACAACAATTCTATATAAATGTCAGTTTTTATTGATTTTAAAGATTTTAATGGTGGACAAAAACAAAGCCTTTTAAAATATAGGTAGGATAGTTTAGTTTGTCATGTCGGTACATGATACACCGTAATAAATGAATCAGTATATCGCTAATACGTAGGTTTAGCACAGTGAGAATTTGATGATATTCTTCTTTTTCCGGTTATTCTAACCAATTAGGAAAAAGGCGGTTGTTGAAATAGTAGTGTAAAGTGAAAACTGTAGTATAGGCGATGGTTACTTATATGTTTTATAAAAATAGAAAAATGTTGAAACGGGTCAAATATAAATTATGGTTGATGACTGCGCTTTCTTAAGGTGGTATTAGAGAAAAATACATGTCGTCTAATACCACCTTTAGCAATTTATCGTTTATTATTCTTTTACTTGCAATTAAACTTATATATGTTAATATAAGGCTGGAATTTATAGTTTATTAACGTTTTCTTTCAAACATTCCTTAAGAAGTACTTAAATAATTATGAAAAATTAAATAATTACTAAATCATGGACAAACTCTTGAAGTAAAGAGGCGTTTAAGTCTTATTCTCCAGACACAAGAATCTATCCCTGTTGCAAGATCTCTCTTGCCTATGCACTTCAATGCGAAAGCTAATAGAATGCCTATTAAAAGGTCTTCGCTTAAAGGCCTATAAGTAGTACAACTTCATAGAATATCTACTATTAAATTCGATTAAAATACATTTAAATTTAAACCAAATAAGTAGTAAGTCAGCTGAAAGAAGTCTTTATTGAGTTATAAGGGAGAGTTTATACAACATAAACCTGTAGGATGGACTTTTTATACTAAAGACAGTAAAATTTTGTTATTTCTTACAGAGATAATATATACCATATATACCCCTGTTCGAAAATCCCATTCCGATCTGAAATGGAGCTATTTTGGTAAAGATATTTATTAAAACTTAAAAAAAAAAAAAAAATAATTTAAAACATCCCACTTTAAAAATTGAAAGTGGTTTCATTCCACTTTTGATCGGAATGAAATCCTTTTACAGTCCTGATAGCAATAATTGAAAAATTGAATTTCAAATTAAATTTTGTTAGATCATAATTTGCAATGTACTTTTGAAGGACTACTTGAAGTCTACCTTCTGCGGAAAAACATAGTTACAAAAGATGAAAACACAGAAGATACGTTGAATTTGGTTATTAAAATCTATGTCCAGTTTTGAAAAAAGGCTTATAGGTTTGGATTCTGTACGCTCTTGAGAATATTAATCTATTTTTGTTTTTGTTATCTGTCACCTATAAAAACCAAAAAACAAATTTGGATAGTTTCATAAACAAATAATGATTTTTCGAATTCAATTGTTACTGCCCTATTGAAAATATTTTTAGCGGTTTGTACTTTTCTGATTCCTCTTAAAAAATTACAATTTCACTTCCAAATAACTATAAAAAATATATTATAAAAATTTATTCTTGAGAATGATTTCAGGAGTAATGAATTTGGAATCAAATATTTAGACATTCCGCCTATAAAAAATCTGTGTTAAAATCATCACTTCTCTAGGTCTTTTCTTTTTTTTTTTGCTGGGATATAGAGATATAGGTTGAATATTATTACAGGTTACAAAGGAATAGTGCTGGGCTGGTTCGACATTGTTTACGACAAGGGGCATTGATGATTGCTGGAGGAATTGGCAGATTGTTAAACATAGGGAAATATCATATTGTAAGGAATGAATACATATATCATATTGTAAGTTTTGCATAGATTTTATGAACATTTATGTAGGGGATAATAAATCGAAAGGAGAAATTTTCGTTGTTTTTGCTTTTAAAAAAGTTCAAACATTTTTGAAAAATATGTTGCATAAATAATTTTAGAACTTAGATTTTAAACTTCCTTCAGAATTTTAACCAAATTTGATCACATTTCCAAAAGAATACGTTGATTAAAGCAAGTTATACGCTTTGATAACAGCAATTGAAATAAATTTTTTCAGACATTTGGACTACAAAAGTAGGGGTTTATTTTGCAGTATAAGTATGCAATCTTTACTTCAATGGTTCCGGTCGAATTTCGGCCGCGGGGCGAACTCTAGTATATATAAATACGCAAAGCCAAAACGATTGGGAACATTTTCCGGCTCTATTACTTGACCGATTTTCTTGATTCTTTTTTTGATGAATGCAGATTCGCGAACCTCACTGCAGAATCTATATATGATCAAAATCGGTTCAGTATTTTCGGAAATATAAGCGTTTAAAGTTTCTACCAATACACAATCACACAAACATGTGCTTGAATTAAAAAATAGAAAACAAAATAAGAAAGCAAAACAACACTTTTTTTCATTGTAGAAAAAAGAGAGGAGAGTGTAAAAACATGTTACTTCTCTGTTGATGATTTATTTTTGTATTTTGCAATGATATTTTTTGTAGTTGTTTTTAATAAGATTTTTGTAAACTAATATGATTTTATTGTTTTTTATTTTTTAAAAGTGTAAAGTGATAAATTGTGAATGTAATAATTATTTATGTAAGATACAAGAGGATGATGATGTTTGATCTGGGAAAACATTGCTGGGACAAGAATTCTACATAAATGTTAGTTTTTATTGATTTTAAAGATTTTAATGATGGACAAAAACAAAGCCTGTTAAAATATAAGTAGGATAGTTTGTTGGTCATGTCGGTACATGATACACCGTAATAAATGAATCAGTATATCTCTAATACGTAGGTTTAGCACAGTGAGGATTTGATGATATTCTTCTTTTTCGGGTTATTCTAACCAATTAGGAAAAAGGCGGTTATAGAAATAGAAGTGTAAAGTGAAAACTGTAGTTTGTGTAGGCGATGGTTACTTATATGTTTTATAAAAATAGATGGTTGATGACTGCCCTTTCTTAAGGTGGTATTAGAGTCTAATACCACCTTTAGCAATTTATCGTTTACTATTCTTTTACTTGCAACTAAACTTACATACATATGTTAATATAAGGCTGGAATTTATAGTTTATTAACGTTTTCTTTCAAACATTTCTTAAGAAGTACTTAAATAATTATGAAAAATTAAATAATAACTAAATTATGGACAAACTCTTGAAGTAAAGAGGCGTTTAAGTCTTATCCTCCAGATACAAGAATCTATCCCTGTTGCAAAATCTCTCTTGCCTATGCACTTCTATGCGAAAGCTAATAGAATGCCTATTAAAAGGTCTTCGCTTAAAGGCCTATAAGTAGTACAGCTTCATAGAATATCTACTATTAAATTCGATTAAAAACATTTAAATTTAAGCCAAATAAGTAGTAAGTCAGCTGAAAGAAGTCTTTATCGAGTGTTATAAGGGAGAATTTATACAACATAAACCTGAAGGATGGACTTTTTATACAAAAGGCAGCAAAATTTATTTATTTCTTATAGAGATAATATATACTATATATTATCTCTATACCAAAAACACATTCCGATCTAAAATGGAGTTATTTAAGTAAAGATATTTATTAAAACTTAAAAAAACAATAATTTAAAACATCCCACTTTAAAAATTGAAAGTGGTTTATTCAAAAAACAAAAAAATGGAAATAATTCCACTTTTGATCGGAATGAATTTTTTTTACAGTCCTGATAGCAATAATTGAAAAATTGAATTTTGTATGAAATTTTGTTAGATCGTAATTTGCAATGTACTTTTGAAGGAATACTTCAAGTCTACCTTCTGCGCAAAAA